CCTCCAGGCCTGGAGCTGCCTGGAGGGCCTCCTGATACAAATGAAGCTGAAACAAGAGCTGCTGCAGTTAGATTCATAAAACAAAATGTTTTATAAACACGATGTATGTGATAATGAAGAATTTGGGTTTATTAAATTCAGTGTATTCACTTCCAGGAGTTGAATTTACAAACATATGTCAGAAATAAAGTTAAACTAAACCAATAAAAGATATAGATAAAAGGTTTTATGGCTCAAAATTATCTTTATTTTTTTTACAATTGAAGATTTTGCAATATTAAAAGTTTGGATCTGTGGATAAACAATAAAAGTTTCTCCAGAGTTATGATAAATAACTGTGAAAATTTCAGAAATTAGAAACAAAATTTTTAATTTTGGTTAATAATTGAGGATAAATCCCCCCAAAAATGACATTTTAGTAAGAAATTAATTGTTTTTCTATTAATTCAGGTTAAAATTTTTCTGTCAAACCTTTTAAGACTCTAAACAGCTCAGGAAGTTGATGAAAAGCTGCTAAATAAACATCAGTCATACATCCATTCCTAATAAAACATTTTATTTTATTATGAAGTCAGATTTTTAACAGTGATATCATTTTATATTTAATATCAGGTAAACTCATTGACCCTCAGTCTATATGAAGATGGTTTTGAATCATGAATAAAGTGAGACCAACCCAATCAGCCCACAGCGCCCTCTAGTGGCTCCTGCAGATGGATTTGGAAAAATCTCTGCAGTTTAAAAACTTTAATTAAATGTTTAACCCAGTGATTTTGTTGAACTTGTTTCTGTCCAGATCCTTTCAGACGGACGGAGCAGGTGGTGAGATCATCAACCAGATGGAGGAGAAGGTTAGAAACATTTACGGTGAACGATTCCCGGACCGGATTCATCGTATTCCTGTTTGCTGATCCACATCTCCTGGAAGGAGGAGAGCGAGGCCAGGATGGAGCCGCCGCTCCAGACGGAGAGCTGCCTCCCATCGGGAGCAATGATCTGGAGACATGAGGAAACAACGGCCTAGTTAAAGTATCTGATCTGTGGTTGGTGAGGAAAATGAACGACCCGTACCTGGACGTTCACGCCAGGCGGGGCGAGCCGAGAGATTTCCTTCTTCATGCGATCAGAGAATCCAGGGAACAAGGTGGAGCCTCCAGACAGCAGGATGGTGGAGAAAAGGTTTTTACGAACATCCAGCTCACATTTCATGATGCTGCTGTGGACGGTTTGATGAACTCCAGAGGAATCCATGTCTAAAAACACACAGACTTCAGTCAACCAGGAGAAACTAAAAACATTCACAGTTTGGAGAGACTGAAGGAGGAGAAGGAAACGAGGAGAGAAAACAGATCTCTGGTTAAAAACCGTCTGGATTCTTTCACTCTGTTTTCTGTCTCCTCTGCCAGGTTTCTGCAGGTCTTGTTTGGTTCACAGTTGATCTGGTACAAACCGATGAGTTCGGGCTTGAACAGCGCCTCTGGGCAGCGGATCCGCTCTTCGCCGATGGAAACTTCTCGTCCATCTGGAAGCTGGTAGGTTTTGTCCAGGGTGGAGGAAGAAGCCGCCGTCTTCACCTGCTGGTCGAAGTACTGAGCCACGAAGCAGAGCTTCTCCTTCATGTCGGTGACGATCTCACGCTGACCTGAAACGTTACGGAGACCCATGAACATCCTGCTGTCCGGTCAGGAGATCAGCTGAAGGTTCAACAAACCGGCGGCGCTGAAGCTGAGTCCTCTGCTGTCCAGGAGCTTCAGCAGGTAATCGGTCAGGTCGGCTCCGCCCAGGTTCAGGCGCAGGACGGCCTGAGGCAGAGCGTAGCCTTCATACACCGGGACGACATGACTGCAGCCGTCACCGGACTCCATCACCATCCCTTCAGGATGAAACATGATCAGAAACCTGGAGAAACATGAACTTAAAGCAGCAGAGTTCATCCACCTGTGGTCCGGCCAGAGGAGTACATGGACAGGACCGGCTGCATGGCCAGGTACAGGGCAGGAGGGCTGAAGGCCTCGAACATCACCTGACCAGACCAGAGATGTTAGGAGGAGCTCTGGACCTGAACTGGGGCTGAACCGTCAGACCGGACTCACCTGGGTCGTCTTCTCCTTGTTCGGTTTGGGGCTGAGCGGCACCTCGGTCAGCAGGACCGGATGGTCCACTGGGTCAGCATGAAGCTCTTTGTAGACGTGATGCCAGATCTGCAGACACAACAGAGAGAAACTCAGAGTTTCTGCTGCAGAGGAGAGAAAACCTTCATCTGCTAATGATTTCACAGCTGTGTTGTTTCCTTTGAATAAGAAATGGAATTAAAATCATGAGTAAATAATCTTGTTCACATGATAAGTCAGTAGAAATGATGTCAGTGTCAGAACCGATCCTGGATCAGTCGGAATGGAACCGGTTCCTCTCCTCACCGTCTCCATGTCGTCCCAGTCCACGATGACGCCGCGTTCGATGGGATTCTTCAGGGTCAGCAGGTCTCTGTGACTCAGAGCTTCGGCTCCTATGAATCTGTCCTTCTGTCCTCCAGCCGCGTCCTGCAGACAGACACGTCATCTACCCACCGCCTCTCCTCCAGCCCTGAGACGCACAGTTGACCTCTGACCTGCCTGGGACGACCGACCACTGATGGGAAAACGGCGCAGGGACCATCGGGTCCAGAAAAACCAGCTTTGATAAAACCGGAGCCGTTGTCAATGACGACAGGAGCGACTTGTTTCTCCATTTCTGAAACAAAACATTCAGATTAATGCTGCTTTTAGTTTCCTTCATAAGTTAATGAGAAATTTGAACCTTGACATTCTGTCACATGTTTAAAAGATTTAATTAATCTGATATGTAGAACATAAAGGAAACATCTGGACTCCTGTGGATCATCGACTCTAAACTGATACATAAAGGTATAAAACTGTTTTAAAAACCATGAAAAAGTAGAAATGAAGCATCAATAGTCACTGAAAAGACGAGCAGCAAACAGGAAAACAATGGAGAAGAAAATCCCACATAAACAGTCAGATGGTTCTACAGTGAGAGGTGATGATAAAACACACAAAACTAATCAGGTCAGAGTTCATCTACTGCAACATTATTAAAGCTAAATATATGTGCAGAAAATAACATTGGAACAACAAAGCTGGTGTATGAACAAGATGCCTCACTTTAACACATTTCTAGGTGTTTCTGTCAGTTTGTTCTTCATTAAATGAATTTAATCACATTTAATGTAGAAAATCCAGACATTTTGCTCCAGTAAGAGCAGCAACACTTCATCATGATGTTAAAACTGTTCTGTAAACTTTCCCTCAAAATGCTACCCAGTTAAATGTAACTGAGTTGTTTTATGATGAAATGGATCATCGAGCTCCGGTCCAATGGTACCAAGCCCAGTTATAAAGACCAGCTTTAGTCAAGATGGAGTTAAAACAAGATTAGTTCAGTTTTTAAATTAAGTTGTTAAAAAAATTAGTTAATGAGGAAATTCTGCCCATAATCTGTACTGGGGTCAGATTATGGTTCTGCTGGGTCCAGTCCTCAGAATCAGTGGGTCAGAACCAGAATCCATCTGAGTTCATCAGCCAGAGCAAAAATCATTTCTCCTCATATCACAGTGTTAAAAACTTCAGGTAAACAGAAATGACTAATAAACCTAAACTAACATGTATTTAATTAAGAGTCTCTATTAAATTATTCTTCATTTTCTCTATTGAAACACAGAAAAACAAAAACAGACACATTCTGACCTGCTCCAGGTGAGCTTCCTGCCTTACCTTCCTGTAGGTGAACCGATAACAAATGAACAAATGAACTTTGTTCAGTTTTTAAGTCATATGGACTCAGGCTGTGAGAGCAGCCGCCCCCTGCTGTTCAGCGTTTGTAACTGCATCCAGAGCCCATTAAAACTACAGTAAAATCATTTGAATTCATAAAAGGATCGTTATTGAAATATGCTGAGTCATTCTTAATAAACTCTTTTTGCTGTGGAGTTCAGTGAGACAAAGTGATTATTAACTAAAGCAGAGAAAGAAACTCGCTGCTTCCTGCAGGACTTTGACCTGAAAACATTTCTAGTATCATGCAAACTGGCCACCAGGGGGCGTGACGGAGTGAACAGACTTACTGCAGAGAAACAGGTGAGCTGCTGCTGCAGCTGCTCACCTGTTCATGCTTATCTGTGCTGGAGGACATAAAGGGAGAGTCTGTTTGATGAGCTTCCTGCCAGCTGGGGTAAAGTTAAAATAATAAATCTGTATTGGTTGTAAAATCTCATCAACCTTTATTTTATTAGTTCAAAAGTCATAGTAGATTAAATATTGCTGGAAAAATGAGTGCAGCTCAGAGTGTGAGAAAAATTATTTTCCTGAAGTTTTTATGATTTTATTTGATCTGTTTAGATCTAATCAATAGTTTGTCATATTTTTATTTTATTAGATTTTCTCATTATTTTCCAGTTCTGGATGGTTTTATTTATTGATCTTTGTTTTCATTTTCTGAAATATGAACGTGTCCATTATGCTGTAATTAGAGAAAGGATTTTAGGCTGATTTGTATTCTAACTATTTATTTAGTGTTAGGTAAATTGTATTATTATCAACTATTTGTTATACTGTTTTATATGTTCTTGTACTCTTATTTGGTTTAGT